TAAAAGTCCCTGTCTTGTACACATATTAGTCCCAAGCATTGTTTGGTCATTTGAGCACCCAAATTGATGGAGGCTCCACCATCTTCAACATGTGGCGTGCCAAGTCGCCCTGGGTGTCATCATTCTAGTGAGCATGGAGGAGCCGGTGTGGAAGACTCTGAGCCAGATCTGGAAGTGATGCAACCTCCACTCACAGTCCATTAGCAGAACCAGTTTCAGGCTATGTCTAACTGCAACGGAGGTTGGGAAATGTAGAGTAGTGGGACACCGTATGTCCAGCTGATATGGAAGAAGGGGAGAATGGATTTTGGTGAACAGGCAGTCTCTGTTCCTAGGAGACAGAGCAAGAAGAAATTTGACTGCCAAGTAATGCAGAGCTGCGCAAGTTTCTTCCAGCATAACCAGGTTCTTGCAGGCAGCTAGGCAGGCAGACCCCAGCCAAAGAGACAGGGTGCAATGGAAGCATTGTCTTCAGTGGTATTTTACCGAGTACTTAGAGCTTTTCTTTGTACTGATTTTTTTTTAACTGATATTTTTTAAAAAGTGCTAAATTTTCACTGTCTCAGAATAGAATCATGACTTCATATTCCTTAATTCAAATATCTGATTGCATGTACTTTTGAAATATATCTATTCGTCATGTTTCTGTTGCAAATTGTTCACTTTTCCACTGGGATATTGTGGTGAGCCATATTTTCCCAAAATGCTACAATGATACCACCAGTAGGAACCCCTTTCAAATCAGTCCAATTTTGTGGTGATATCACTTAAGGAATCAAAAAGCAAAGACTCTTTTTTGCTTGGAACAAATGTGTGAGAAACCTCAAATGCATGAGATCTAATTTGGAGTAGGGTCAAACACAAGAGAGGAACAGCTCAGAGTGTATGGGAGTTGTCAGCCCAAAATAAGTGTCAATCCATCTTCTAGAGTATTAAGTTTTAGATTTCTTTTAAAGATCAGAAACTTTGTGGATCTAGGTCATTATAAAGTAAATTTAATTGTTTTCTCATTTCATACCCAAAGCCAAGGCCTTTATTGTATTGGTTTGATGGTGGTTGAATGAACAGATGGAGGGTGAGATCAGACACAGGTGGATTTTGGCATGTCATTGTTACAGACTGGAAAGCACAAATTTGAATGAAAATAGGATGTTTATTCCATTTGGAATAAACATGGCCGGGTGCCGTGGCTCACGCCTGTAATCCCAGCACTTTGGGAGGCCAAGGCGGGCAGATCACGAGGTCAGGAGATCGAGACCATCCTGCCCAACATGGTGAAACCTCGTCTCTACTAAAATACAAAAAATTAGCCAGACGTGGTGGCACACGCCTGTAGTCCCAGCTACTTGGGAGGCTGAGGCAGGGGAATCGCTTGAACCCAGGAGGCAGAGGTTGCAGTGAGCCGAGATCATGCTGCTGCACTCCAGCCTGGTGACAGAGCAAGACTCCATCTCAAAAAAAAAAAAAGAGAGAGAGAGAGAAATATACAAAAATACAGAAGATGTAGAAAAAAAATGCTAAGGGCCAGGCACAGTGGCTCATGCCTGTAATCCCAGCACTTTGGGAGGCTGAAGTAGGCAGATGGCTCGAGCCCAGGAGTTCAAGACCAGCCTGGGCAACATGGTGAAACCCCATCTCCACAAAGAAGACAAAAATCAGCCAGGCTTGGTGGTGAGTGCCTGCAGTCCCAGTTACTCAGGAGACTGAAGTGGGAGGATTGCTTGAGCCCAGATGTCGAGGTTGCAGTGAGCCAAGATGGTGCCACTGCACTCCAGCCTGGTTGACAGAGTGAGACCCTGTCTCAAAAAAAAACAAACCAAAAAAAAAGAGAGAGAGAGAGAGAGAAGTTAAGAACCTGAATATTCTAAGAAAGAGGATCTGAAAGTAGAAATTCAGCTGAACCCATATTTTCACAGGAAGTGAGACAGGAAGGGGAAAAAACCCCTCCAGTAACCAATACTGTTGTCAAGGGCAGGAGTTGTGTTGCCGAGTTTTCAGGATCACGCACTCCATAGCACTTGCTGACCTAATCAGTGAACATTTGTTCACACAAATCGTAACCACCAGAACCACTGGGCTCTTCTCTAATGTGGATTCCATTCTTTACTACTTCAAGAATGCTTGTCAGATCCTTCTGAAACGCCTTGAGCCCATCATTAAGAAACATCCGGAAGGTACATGGGAAAACTGGGTAAGTGTTCCACTCCCTTTGTCACTACAAATGAGAAAACAATCTAAACCAGTACTGAGACAGCACCACAGCCGTGCACAGCCATCACACACAGAGACAGTTCCTCTAAGTGTCACAGTGATGGAGCATGCCCCCTGCTTCTTCCCCAGTTGAGTGGATTTCTGCAAACAGGCAGGATCTCTAAAGGTTGAGGAGGCTACTCCAGGATGTGTACCAGGTGTGTATGGAGAAAGCACACAGGAAACAGCAATCACTGGAAGGAGAAATAGAAGTGTATGAAGAATACACTCTGCTAAAGTAAGAAATAAGAGCAAAAGAATGAGCCTTCCTAAGACACACACACACACACACACACACACACACACGTGCACATGATGTTCTGGGTAGGTTAAGAAGAAAACTAAAAGGCCTATTTACTGTTGAATGGCTCAAAGGAGACGACTAACTTAATCCAACTTTGCAATATCCTATGACTTTTTTCATTAGAACAATTATTTCACATTTACACACATGCTTACTATAAAGTTCTAACATTTAGAAATGAAGTCCAGGCCGGGCGCGGTGGCTCAAGCCTGTAATCCCAGCACTTTGGGAGGCCGAGGCGGGCGGATCACAAGGTCAGGAGATCGAGACCACAGTGAAACCCCGTCTCTACTAAAAATACAAAAAATTAGCCGGGCGCGGTGGCGGGCGCCTGTAGTCCCAGCTACTCAGGAGGCTGAGGCAGGAGAATGGCGGGAACCTGGGAGGCGGAGCTTGCAGTGAGCCGAGATCGCGCCACTGCACTCCAGCCTGGGCAACAGCGTGAGACTCCGTCTCACAAAAAAAAAAAAAAAAAAAGAAATGAAGTCCAAATACCTTGTGCACTGAGCCCCTATCTCAGGGATGTGCAGCAAGATTCTGTTTTATGTTTGTTCAACCCAGACTTCTAAACTCAATCAGAAGGAAATTGTTAGTGTGCCAGTTATGGAAAAATAATATGATTATGAGTTCTATTATTGGTAGCAAAGTACCAGCAACAATTATGAGATGTCAGTTTTAGATTGGACATTTCTGTCTTCACCTAGCAGATGGTATATTTGTTTGGCTTTAACTAAATATGCCCATTTTGCAGATAGAAGCTGCATTTGAACAAAGAATCAGTCTCTCAGCCACTGGATACTTCAGGTAAACATCACAATAATATCTTGATGTAGCTGAGAAAATACGACGTAACTCAATCACTGTTGATGGCTGTTGTGATACTTTGGTTCTTGTCTTCTTAGTTTAAAAGAATTTAAACAAGAGACACAGCAAACAAAAAGAGACACACAGGAAAAGATGTGCAGCATTGAGTAATTTATTGCAAAAAAAAGAAGAGTATTTTGAAAATGAGGTGCAGAGTAGACAGTACACCCTGAGAGAGAATTTCGGGCAGGCTGTCCGTAAGGATGAGACAGCAAAGACTAGCATTGCAGATGCTCCCTTTATGGGGGTCTTATATGATTATTCATGAGGAAGTGGGAAGAGGTGTTACTAGTAAGCACGTTCTGGGTGGTCTTCTGGGTGCACATGTGCAGCTGTACATGCTTGTTCATACATTACATGTCTCATTAGTATCTTCAGTCTCCACCCGGAGGTGTGTTTTTTACTATTAAAATAAGCAAAGGGTCAGTTTGAGGACAGGTAAAGTCAAAGTGTCCATGCTCTCTACATGGGAAATTCCCTACTGAAGATAGCTTTGCTTGAATGAGTGCGATTACAATGGAAATGCTGAGGCTTTCGCATTGATTGTGCTGTCACCACAGTGCTGGTGCTGCGTCCAGAGAACATGGTCACTTTCTTGACTACCTAAACTGCCTCAACTCTGGGCCGCAGGTCCCTCATTTGTAAAATACATTTTTATTATGTGACTGCTGAGGTCCCTTCTACGCCCAAAATTCTATGATTTCACATAGGCCTTTCAGTTATGTAAAAAAAAAATTAAACAACAAAACACCCTTATTGGGGGAAAAAAAGATTAGATGCTTGACTTACAACATCTAATCATTATAATCATTATTTACTATTTATTTAATCATTATTTACATATTTACATTATTTAATCATTCTAATCATTTACTATTCTTTATTGTGAGTAGTAAAAATATATTATCATTAGAAATGACTTCCATCTCAATTTTACAAATCCCCCTTCCTTTACCATAAAACCTGTCTATTTTGAAGCTCCTTACTAGACAACAGAGAATGGGTAGGATGATAATCACCAGTCATTGTCAAATTCAAGAAGCATGTGACATTAGTTTTACAGTCTGATCAGATAAACCACCAAACAATAGACACACACACACACGAAACAGCAAAGCAAATCCTCATGAAGAATGAGGAAATAAGGAGATAACAGCCCAGCCCAGAGCCTTGTACATAATAAGTTCTAAATTCCTAAGTTCAGTTACCCAAGAAGAGAGTAAACGAGCCCTCTATCTGAATACATCTTCTATTATAGATTAATGCATTGAATCACCAGTCCTTTTTTACCAACCCTGAATTACCACCAGCTCCCTGTGAGTTTGCTTAGCACTATCCATGGGCTCCCTCTGGGAACAGTGGTTCCAGAGGGACCACTGATAAAATTCAACCGAGGTTCTCAGTGGGCAGGCAGGCTAACACTTAAATCCTTTGTGGTCAAGATACAGGCACACTGTGAGGTCCGGTCCCAAACAATCTGCTGGCTTCTCCCTCTTTTTGACATCCTAACTGTGCCACAAGGAATATCCTCTTTGATGAGTTTAAAAGGCAATTAAAATGAACATAAATCAAATGAAATGCTATAGTTACCTGGCAGGGGAGATATCATGATCCCAAAGGTGGTTTTCCTTGAGTGAGGCTTATCTTACCTATTTTACTGCAGAAATGCTGACCCCTGTGGTTTCCCCAAATGTAGGAAACTCAACTGCATAATTTGTGGTAGGAGACTGTATTTGTGCCCTCTCTGGGAAAAAAAATGAAATTCTCCCAAAAAACTTTGGTAACTTTTAAAATAAATCAACATGGGATCTCCCCCACTCAAGCTAAAAGGCTTTATTTCTTCCCTCAGGGGCTACAAGGCCTTCATGGACTGGGAGAAGGGGATGGGGGACCCATTTCCTTACTATGTCTATGGAGCTGCCTGTTCTGAGGTTGAAATTGACTGCCTGACAGGTGCTCACAAGGTAAGTCAAGTCTAACTTTCCTCTTGGCAAGTCAAAACAACAACAAAAGTGTGTTGTATAGTGAATAGCCCAATTCCATTATGTCATTCTCTTATAACAAGATTCTTTCAATTCCATGGGAGGGTCCAGAGATCTAGCCTAATCCTGAATTTCCATGTAAAAAGACAATATAGTAGTCAAAAAGGAATTGCTGATGATAAGTCTAAAATGTATTAAATTTTTTATTTCATTTAGACAACAAAATCACTTTCCAAGTTTTCTTCCGAAAAAAAGCTTCTATTTATAAAGAAAACACACATTTTCTAATCTGAAGGAATAACTAACTTAGTAAATAGTCTTGAGCAAACATTTTGAAAGCACATAGCAATGTGCTGTTTCTCCAAAGTCAATTATCCAAAAAGTGTTACTGAAACACATTTTGGAGGAAGAGAGGTATGAAAATAATTTTTATATTTTCTATTTAATTGAACAGCCAAGAAACCACCCATTGGAGACAGGGAATCATGCTTAACCCAAAATTAACAACTTGCATTATAAAGGATGCAATTTTACCCAAGGGCCTTGGTATAAATCCCTAAAGAAATGAAACTTATGGAGATCTTCCAGAATTTATGACACTACAAAAGTCAAAATTTGGTCTTTTCTGTGCCTTTCAGTTTACATTTAGAGTTTAAGGTTCAATAATTTCAGTATTACTTTGATCCCTTTAAATAGTTTATTTCTTAAAGAGGCAAAACTTATTTTAACTAAAGAGAAATCAGAGAAATTCAATGACAGGTCTATTGCGGCTGGCCATTTGTGGTTGGTGAACTAAATCATCCATCAACTCAGCGTTAGTGCACAGCCATCTCTTTCCACTGTCCAGCACTTACAGTGCAAAACACACCAGGTTTCAATGTAGAAGTAAACTGAAGGCCCACTCTGAGATGTGTCCAATCTCCCTCCCTATCCAGGTTGAGGATAGATGAAGGCTGGTGCCAATGGCCAGAGTAGGTTGTCCAAGAGGCCAAGGTTTGAGTCAAAAGAGAATTGCCAAGTCCAAAGGGCTAGATAGAAAGTAGGAGCTGAGGTATTGAGCCCAAACAGAGAATGATGATCTTGTCAGAACAAGCACTGGAAAATGGGGGCAGAAGGGAAGCCCTGAGATACTCCGGAGATAGGCCACAGGCACTTAGAGGCTTTTAGTGGCTCCTTAACAACCTGCAGGCCTATGCCCAGTGACAAAACAAGGGCCAGATTCATGTGGTGCTTCTCAGAGAAGGAAGTACATTAGCAAATCAAAGGTGGTCTTGACATTTGCTCTGAATACCTTCCAAGATCTTGCAAATCCACAAACTCATACATGCCAGTATGGCTCTAGGATTTTCACAGTAAAATGGCAACAGTACCACCTGCCACAGATTATCATGAGGACTACATGAGCTCAAAAATTATATTCCAACAACAAATTCAGGTTGAGAATCAGATGAAAAACCAGGCACAACAATTATTTACCAAGTGACTCACTCAGACACACTAGCATGTCATGGACTTTGGAGTCACTTAAGAGGAGTCAAAACCATGAATGCACGAGATCTTCCAGGGTCATGGACAGTCCTGGCACTCAATTTGAAGACTTCAGCAGGCATCTTAACAGCTCTAATGTTGACAGGGTTCAATGCAGTGTTAATTAGCCAGCAGGAGTTCTGGAAAAACTAGAGACCATTTGAGAATACCTGAAAACGATACTTTTAATTCAAGATTTTTGGTGAGGTAATTTTTATTTTGGGCAGAAAATCAGAACGGACATCATCATGGATGCATGTTGCAGCCTAAATCCGGCCATTGATATTGGGCAGGTAGGTGCTGGCCCACCTGGGAGGATGCCCCTTCCTGGGAGTCATCTCAAGGTAGGTAAAGGCCTTCTAACACAATGTCACAAAGCTTGAAATTGTCCCCCTCCAGATTGAAGGTTCGTTTATTCAGGGAATGGGGCTTTATACCACTGAAGAACTGAAATACTCCCCAGAAGGCATCCTGTACTCTCGGAGCCCAGATGAGTACAAAATTCCAACCATCACTGATGTCCCAGAGGAGTTCAATGTCTCCTTGCTGCCATCATCACAAACCCCACTAACCATCTATTCATCTAAGGTAAGCACCCAAACTTACCACTGCACAGTGTCATGGATCGGGTAGCACATGGCAAATGAAAGCAGGCAGACAAAATAGTAAGTCAATGTTAACTGTTATCAGGAACAAATCACTACAGACTGCTAGAATTTGGAGATGAATCACCCATGGCAATCATGGGCCAAGGATTTTAATAATTTCCTCTTTCACTGAAAACTCTAAAACTTGCCAAAAAGCTTTGACTTCTTAATAGAATAAGACTTTTACTTAAGACCCTGAAGACGACAATATTAAACAGGATTGGAGGTGCAATGCAACTGAAATACTAGCAGCGGCACCGTGGACAGAACCCTGGACTAAGGTCGCAGAAGACCTGGGTTCCTGCCAAGCCCTATCCCCTCCCCGTGGTCTCAGACAAATCACTCACCTCAGAGGGGCTCAGGGTCCTTACCATACCCAGCAATGCATCTAGAACAGTGGGTCTCAATTTGGGGTGGGGGGAGTGGGGGAGGTGATTTTGTACAAGGCAACCCCCGCCCCCACTACAAAGAATTATCTGGCACAAAATGTTAATAGCATCAGAAAGCAAAGACATCAACCCTTAGTAATTGCTAAAGTAATGAAACTGCAAATTAAAATAAATATCATTATTTGTTTGCCTTGCTCTATGCAGATGACGTGAAAACCACACTCAGAGTAAAAACTTCATCTAGGTTTGAGATGTATTGTTAAAGTTTCTTGACTCCTCTTAAGACTTTAAAATCTTTCCCGACCATGGTGGTGCACACCTGTAGCTTCAGCTACTCAGGAGGCTAAAGCAGGGGATTGCTTGAGCCCAGGAATTCAAGACCAGTCTGAGTAATAAATAAATAAGATCTTTTGGGAGACTTCTTGCTAGTACCCATCCTCCAAAAAAAAAAGTATCCAACTACATCTGTAGAAATTTCATCATGTCCAAACTGGATCCCACTGTCAGCCCAGGAATGCCAGGAACTTCCTCTAGACCTATAGTGATGAGGTCAGGGCAAACCTGAAAGGAAGGACAATCAATGGGGCCTTTGGATTCTCATTGGACTGGAAATCACTCTAAGGGGCAAAGGCAAAAGGGAGCTAAGAGCCCACAGAGAGCAGCTTTTAAGCCACCAAGAGTAACACAGGGCAGACAGGACCCTTGAGTCCTTGTAGTTGCAGACAGTCACTTATAAGCAGACACTCAGGAAAATCAGGGGTTTGCAGGTCCCACATGGAGGGTACTATGTAAAAACAACAGAGAGCTACCAGGTACCAGGAGCTGTGCTAGGTGCTTTTGTGTTTCCTGATCCTTGCAACACCCTATAAAGTAGGCATCACTGCCCACACTTCACTGACAAAGGAACAGAGAAGATTATCTCACTTACCCAGAGAAACACGGGGAGTTAGGGTCAGGATTCAGACTCAGTCTCACTAACTCAAAGGTCGCAAATTGGTGGTCTACTGGCTAAATCTAGCCTGAAGATTTACTTTTCTTTGGCCTACACAGTATTTTTACAAGTTGGGGAATTTTACATTAAAATACAGATACCTAAATTCTCTTGAGAAAATGGATGATCTGGTAATTTTGGCTGCATCCTTGGAAAGGCAACGACTAGCTACAACCAAAGAACAGCTGCCCCTTGTAGACAGGACATGGGGGTGCTCTTCCTCACCTTACTTTCCACTGCTCCTTATTGTCCTTCACCTGCCTGCATCACTCATTGACCATACCTGCCTGCTCCTTGCAGATGACGGGTTTACAATCTTTCATCTGGTATCAAAGTCTGTACTCTTTCTTCTAGAGTACCATGCCTATCCTGACCCTGGAGTTTAAAAAGGCATTTTTCTCTCTGCTGATAAAGCTGGCTAGTTGAATCCATTGAATGTGTTTTATTAAGTAGGGTATTTGCCCATTATCACACAAAGATACTCATACATACACACACCTTACCTATGGAACAAAATTTAACCCAGACAGGATTCAAGATTTCAAGATCTGGGAAACTCAGATTATGCTGGGAAATTTTTTTTTTTTTTTTTTTTTTTTTTTTTTGAGATGTAGTCTCACTCTGTCACCCAGCTGGAGTGCAATGGCGTGATCTCAACTCACTGCAACCTCCGACTACTGGATTCAAGCAATTCTTCTGCCTCAGCCTGCCAAATAGCTAGGACTACAGGCACACACCACCACGCCCAGCTAATTTTTGTATTTTTAGTAGAGACGGGGTTTCACCATGTTGGGCAGGATGGTCTTGATCTCTTGACCTCGTGATCCGCCCGCCTCGGCCTCCCAAAGTGCTAGGATTACAGGCGTTAGCCCCTGTGCCCGGCCTATGCTGAGATTTTTAAGAATACTTAAGCTTCTGATTCAGTCAGTAAGTCAGCCAACAAACATTTATTGAGAAGATTTTGTGTACAAAACACTGTGCAGGAGTTGGGGATACAATGGTGAACAAGGCCTGGTCCCTACCCTCTAGAAACTTGTAGTGTAGTATAGAAGTTTCTTAAACCAATGTGCCTTCTTACAGGGCCTCGGGGAGTCTGGGATGTTCCTGGGGTCATCTGTGTTCTTTGCCATTGCTGACGCTGTGGCCACAGTGCGAAGAGAAAGAGACATAGCTGAGGACTTCATGGTGCAGAGCCCAGCAACGCCAGAACGG